CATGGTGGGGGGAGAAAAATCCCTACCACCCCACTCCTGCCCCCACAGGTCTCTTCACCATAGTTGTTAGGATCGCGATCCGGATCGTACGATCCTACGATTCGGATTAAGACTAACGATCCAACTTACGATCCTGATATGATCCTACTATTTTCAATAAATTAAATAATAATTTTAGTATTTTAACTATATCTTTGTGTAGACAACTCGAAATTAAGTGTCGTTTGTTGCGTTGTAAACTATATTCAGAGTGCTTTAAATCTATGTAAATAATTAAACCTAATTCCAAACCTAGAAAATTTGATGAATCTTTAAATTTGACTCATATAATTCACTAAAGTGAATAAATGATCTTTGTTATAGGTTATCACATGGAGCTAGTGTTTTGTGTCTTTATTATAATAAATTAATATGGTTTAGAGCCTTTAGAAATGAATTAACCTTAATTAACAATATAATTATATTGGTTGCTCATGAATTACATTATTTGTTACTATATTTATGAATTGCAAACTTAAAAATTATAAATATGACAATTTATTATATTTTTTGTAGGATCTATCGATTTTACGATCCGATCCTGCGATCCGATCTTGCAAACCAAAAATTGATCCTAGATAGGATCGTGATTTTGAAAACCTTGCTCTTCACTCCATTTCTCTCCCCAAAGGACGGGCATCCATTCCTATCATGATGGCCCCTCCCCACCTCTTAATTCTCATGCCATTGGATGAGCCAATTTAGAGGGAAAGTGAATAAAGTTGGCATCTATCTGAATAAAGTTGGCATCTATCTGCCCTATGGTTTAAGTCGTTATGGAAAGGAGGTAACCTCTTAATTCTCATGCCATTTCCAGCTTTGTGTGATGAAACCAGGAAGATGAAAATTCGTGTCTCAATCAATGAACTCGAAGATGGATCATGCAACGGCGTGATTCTTGGTATGTTATTGTCCAATTAGCAAATTTTGAAAAATCATTGATGGTTGAGATGAAAGTCAAGTAACAAGAGGTTTAAAACTTTTCGGATTCTTCTATTCACTGAACATAATAAAAGATAGGTGCACTCTTCAATTATGCATGCCACCGTATGTTTCATTAATCAACATTATTGTTTATTATTAATTGAATGCAACGTTCTATATTTGGATTATAAAAGAAGTTGTATACGGAACTAGATTATAGGCTGACAATGATGTCTTATCTAATTAAAAAGATGCTATTCCAATTAATTTCATCCATATTTCACCTAAACGCACTGTTTTAAGGGTAGCCTATGGTACCGAACTAGGTATGTCAATGGATCGGATTTTATCCAAACCCAGTATATCTGAGTAGGGTTTAGGTTTAATTTATTAACCCAGACCCTAACCAAATCTAGATCCCGTAAGAGAATCATGAATTTGGGTGGAGTATGGTTTTCTATGACTTAAATCCAAATTCAAATCCAAATTAGACCCTACAAATACCCATGCAATATTCTATGTGTGTTTATGTATCAGTAAATTCGGAAAATAACCTAATATTCTATGTCATTATAATTAGTACAAACATTTTCAAGAAAAAAAGAAAAAATGAAAGCAAATAAATAAAAGATTGAATATAGACACAGATGAAACTTTGAAAACAAATAGTTTTAGTTGATAATAATTCTTTCTTTGAGCTCATAATATTGTGATCAACATCATGAATGTTGATTTTAGTATTTGAAAATAAAAATTCGATGATATTTATGTTATTTTTTAACTCTATATATTTTCAAAATATTTTTACTTTGGTTCTTCATTGTATGTTCAAAAATGTATTCACGAATACCCGCTGAATACCTAAACCTATGAAGGTTCGAGTTTGAGTTTACTTTTTCATACCCATAAGGGGTTGGGTTTGAGTTTGGGTCTAACTAAATTTAATAAGTATGAATGTAGATCAAAGAGATCTAAATCGAACCCTATCCATTAAAATACCTATACTATACAATATAAATTAAACCTTGTCAAATCCCTTGGGCCCACAAATTATGTTGACTTGGTAAACCCCTGGATAATTACCTCCATTTTTTTTATATAAAATATCATAGTTTTATTAAAATTTGCATTAATGATAGAAATTACATCATTAAACATACACAAATATCAAAAAACAGGATAATATGGTGAGCTCTATCGAATAGATCCAAAAAATTCCAAATTTGATAATCAAAATCTAAAAAAACTCAACTTGGGCACATGAAGAAAGCAACTTTTGTCGTTCCAAACTTCAAAATTGACTTTTAAGAGTCTATTAGCTGTTGTCCTTGAAAATGGTTCATCACCTTCACTTCATGATGTTTATCCAAATTTTAGATTATCCTTAAATTTTTTATTGAAATTATACTGGCCTTGCTATGTTACCTATGTAGAAGGAAGCATAACAATTACTTTGATCGAAAAACAGTATATACAAATAACATTTAATTTTATAATAATATTTTATAGAATTTTTTTTGGAGGTAGAAGTTAACATTTACTTCAAACCTTATGTGAGGGAAAACTAAAATTTTTAGGTTTTAGAGAGTTGGTGACTAGGAATGACAACAAGATAGATTTGGAACTAGAGAACCCTCTCCCGTTTCCCCTCCTGTGCTTTAAAAACTTCCCCTTGCCCTAAGCTATCCCCCTGCCCCCACCCCACTACCCAATAAGGGCGCCCCAATGGGTGGTTCAAAATAAACTTCTATTTTTCATAATTTTTCATATATAATATCAACAAATAACTGTATAAATCAATCTTTTGAACTTTTAACTAAAATTCAACATGAAATTAAGTTTAAAATATACTTTAATCATTTAAAAATATTTCTCCATATTTATTAGCATAACTAAAGTAATATCTGCTACTATTATTATCTTATTGCAAACATGCAATACACAAAAAAAAATTCACTAAACTAAAAATAACAAATCATCATTTTACCACACAAATAATGATATCATGAGTTTTCAAATTATAATGTATTTGTCTGTATGTGTATGTGTGTGTCTATATATATATATACATATATAGAGGTGGGGATAGTACCGATACAAATCCCCACCACCCCTACTATATATAATATGTACATAGATATTGACAAATATAGTTACGTATTAATTATGGATTAATTTTTCCTACACTGACAGTGTATACACTATTAACGTTGGATGAATGACAACTATGCAAAATTTAAATTTAGAATTCAACTTTTACACACATGTCATGAATCAAACGGTAATAGTCTATACACTGTCAGTGTATATAAGATATACTCAATAATTAATTTATTTAATTTATAGGTGGAGATGGTACGGAGACAAATTCCCGCAACCCCTACTCCCACTCCGCATTTCTCTCCGCCCCATTTATATACCTACGGGGCGGACATCCTTACCGATCGTGACCCCTCTCCATCTCTTAATTTCCGTGCCATTAGAAGGGCCAATTTAGAATGAAAGTGAATAAAGTTGGCATCTATGCTGCCCTATGGTTAGGTGAATGGTTTCATTTCTAGCTTTGAATAATGAAACCGTGAAGATGAAGTCTCAAGGACAATTGTCGTGCCTCAGTCAATCACTTCGATGATAGAATACGCAACGGAGTGACACTTGGTGTATGATTGTCTAGTTAACAAATCTTTGCAACATCATGGATGATTGAGATATAGTCAAGTAACAAGGTTTAAAACTTTAAGAATTGTTTCATTCAGGAAGCACGATAGGAGATGAATCTACTTTCCAATTATTTGTACAAGATTTTATAATTCAAAAAATAAATAATTATAACTGAAATTTATAGCGAGTCCACCCTTTCTATTTGTAAGATTGATATTTATTTGATAAATGTTGGAGTTAATGAAACTAATTTGACAAACTGTTGATAGAAGTGGACATGGCATTGACTTTGTAATTCTTCTATTGATTAAGGTTTCTTATCCCATGCACTTGGAAGTTGACGTTTTAACTTTTAAGGGGGGAAAAAAGGGAATAGTGAGAGGTCCGCTTAGAAATTTACTAATACATTTAATTAGTGAAAATTTTTTATATTCCATTTCAAAAGAGCCAACGAACCAAACATCAACTATAATAATGATATGCATTCCCGGTACTGAACCAAACAGAGATGTATTGGAATGATTGACTCCGTTGCAAACTCAGGATGAATGATCTCAAATTCAAATCCGATTTCAAGGTACGAACCAAACGCCACCTAAGTTTGTATTATCTCGTCACACACGTCTTGTAGGGTGATTCACGCAGCGGCGTTCAGAAGTAACCGAAGATCAACAACAACGTGTATCTCATATCTGCTCAATAGAATCTTATTATACAGTTGAAACAAACAAAAACAATAAGACAAAATTTCCCCTTGTGCTCCTAAATTCAGAAGAAGTGTACAAGGTAGCAACGATGACATGGAGGGAGACAGGATGTCGTCGGGATGGAGGCCTGCCAAGGGGAGTCGTGTAGCGGGTTTAAAGGAGCAGTAGTCCAAGTCCAAGACGGAGAAGTTCCGCAAACCACCAACAGACGTTTGTTTCCTTCAATTTGCTCTTTTCGTCCCACCACTCCTTTCTGAAAAAGCTTGACAAGCAACCTGCCTTAACTTCCCTGCTTATATGTCTTGCTTTCATCTGGCTTAAAACATTCCCAATCGGTTTCATCTGGCTAAATTTCCACAATGTTGATGGGGTAAGATTCGAAGGAGTGAAGCTATGTCGGTGAATAGAATATGAAATAAACGAAAATCAAACTTATGAAATAGCAATATATCCAAAGATTTATAATTGTGTAAAATAGCAAAGATTTTTTTTTTTTGGTTTTTTTTGGTTCCCCTTGTCAAGATCTGGCATAAAGAATGACTTCTAATACGTCGTTGATAGCACATACAATTACTCATCATTCTCTTTCATATTTAAAAAATAGATTAATTTTCTATACATTAATAATGTATACAGTATTAGACCTATATGCATACTAGCTGTTTCAAATTTTAAATTTTAAATTTAAATTAATATTAGTTGTCATGCATTCGAATCTAATAGCATATATAGTGTCAGTATATACAGGATTAATTCTTAAACAATTATACAATTTGTGGTGAATGAATGTTGGGGGAGGCGATGAAGAGGGGACACCATGTCAACAGTGTACATAAGTTTCAGAGAGAAAAATCACAAAGGGACTAAGAGCCTTAAAAGTCTTCGATTTGGGTCCTCATTGCGTCAATGAATGATTTCCCATCTAGTTCACGGGAAAAATACGCTTTTGAATAGTCAATCATACTAATTCTTCTGAAAATTGCTGGATTTTCAGGGGTGATAAGACTTGGCGCTGGACCCATATCACCATCCAATTTTGGGGCGAAAAACGTCGCAATGGAAAGCCTTTCGTTGTGCAAATTCACAGTTACCCGATGCTCAACACTCTTGTAAATCCCATTTGTCACAATCTGCATCTCAGTTAAAATACGTCACATTATTCCCAACTATGTACTGTGTAGCATACATTCTCATAAAAGTTCAATTAGGCTCAATAATAGGATATAGTTAACAGGGCAATCTTACGAGTCCACCTATAACTACTGTTATGCCCCAAAAACATTGGAGATAGAATTCAGAAGCTATACCCTGATAGATCCAGGACATGATTTGTAAGTAACTCGTGTAATTAGCATTGAAATCAAGACAAAAAGTAAATTCTTTTCTGAAAATCAAAACAAACTTGTTGGGGAAAAGTGCAAGCACTTTTTTCAAAACGATGAAAGGAAAGTAGTTTGAATTTTACCGCTCGTACATCACAGGTAAGCAATAATTTGGAGGGTGGGGGTGTAAAGGCATGTACAATACTAATTTTGAAGTTATTATGCCCAAGTTTTACATTCTTGGGAAATATTACTCGAATAATGAAGTAATTAATCAATTAAATTGGTTACTAATATGACTAAAACTGCTTTTTCAATATAAAGACCTTTTCATCCATATATTTTATGCTTTTTTTTTTGACTTTATAAAGATACGTGTTCTATTAAAGTACTCAATATTCTACCAATAAACAACATTTGTCTAACTCTGACAAAGTAGCCATAGTTAGAAGTTTAGGCACAAATTTGTCAAAAGTTAAATTTTGGGATGAAAGCTACACTTTGACCTGGCCTCATTTTTCTAGGCGGTGCAAGTTGATAATTAGTCTTACACATCAACCTAGTGTAGGCATACTAATCATAATCGGAAAGATTATCTCTTGAATACTATTAAAATATGGGAAGGACATTCTAATTTCCATATATGTTCATAATTGTAGAAACCAATTTGAAAATATCTCATAAGGGAGGCCAAAAACTAGATAGATGTTGTAATTATATAAACAGAAAAGCAATTTGAAGAGATTGTTCATATTCACATTGCATCTTTGGAGAAAGGATTTTGAGCATGATTACCTCTAAAATGTCTCCAACATTGACTATGAATGCATTAGGAAGTGGTACAACAGGAACCCAAGCTCCAGCCTTTTTGATTTGGAGGCCTTCCACTTCATTGACTTGAAGCACTATGGTAAGCCCAGTAGCATCAGAGTGGGGGCAAAGGCCCATTACTAGCTCAGGTTGAGGGCATAGAGGATAATAGCCCATCCTCAATGATTGCATCCCTTCTTGAAAAAGCATTGTCATATCTTCAAGCTTCATTCCTAATGCTTTTGTCATTTGCTCAAGGACCTTGATGGCAAGGATTTTCAATTCCCTTGAGTACTGATCTAGAGTTTCTCTACAAAGTTAAAAAAAATGTAAATAAAAAGTAAAGAATATCCAATATATAATAACAATGCACAATGCTTTAGATGTTAACTAATTTTTTATGCATGCAAGGATGGATGTTTTATCATCATCTCACGCTGACATGGCTTATTAATTTTCCTCATAAAGACAATTAAGAAGGTAAGATTTAAGAAAGGGATAATTTCATAAACCTCCTCTAAGAATTTTAACAATTTCACTGAGCTCCCTTAAGGTTTCAAAAATTACACCTACCTCCCCTAATTTGACACTTTTGGCAATCAAACCTTTGACTTGGCCAAAATTTTTAATGAATATCCTAAAATACCCTCAAACTTATAACGTTTGAATTACTTTCCAGAACAATCATAATATATTTAACACAAAAATACAGAAAGAGTGTGAAGTTTTTAACACCATATTTATTATTTGATAAGCAAAGATGACAATAGTTCTATCACTATGATAAACTACTTTTAATGGCGATTTACCAGGGTATGTATTTTTTAATTTGAAAAAGAAAATACCGTCATAATTCTTTTAAAGTTTGTAGAATTTTGGATTGGTGGAATTATCATAGCTTGGTAGCAATTTTGGGCTTTTTTTTGGAGTTAATGTAGCTTTTGGTACCCAAAAAAATCAGCAAGTAAAAATTAGATCACATTCAAAGTCATAAAAAATGTCACTAGTAAAACATTTAGGTTGTCAATGTTTATATTTTATGGTTTTATTGGCAAAAATATAAAAAGGGGGAATAAGAATAGAAAAAGAAAAGAAAAATAATTATTAATACCAGTCTTTGTAAAAGTATATCTAACAAGAGAGTTTTATTAAAATGTTTGACCTAATATTGTCATTTTATGTGGGCAAAGGAGGTAAATGTTATTTTTATAACCTCGAGGGAGCTCAATGAAATTATTAGAAACCTGAGGAGAGGTTTTTGAAATTGTCCCTCTAAGAAAAGCAAGAGAGGATATATTTTCCTGTATGAGAGAGAGAGAGAGATGATATAATTTATTTTTTGTCAATCGTCATGATCTACTCTATTCATACTCTAACCTATCTAGGGGGAGACTCAACTGAATCTATTGGGGAATCGACGGGGATTGAATCACCAGTGGATCAAACTATTTCTACTCTAATCTATTTTAGAGGAAGACTCAACTGAATCCATTGAAAAACCGACGGGAATTGAATCACTATTGAATCAAACGTACGCACTTGTATGGATTTGAGAAAATCACATATAGTAGCAAAATGATGGGGATAAGATTTAAACCTTTAACCTCCCACTCCACCAAGACTTCAAATCATTGGGTGGCCAATAGCCATATGATTAAAAGACGAGAAATGTTGGAAAACCATTAAGAATGACTCCAAGGTAAAAAAATAAGTAGAAAAGGCCTATCATGTGGAGGCTTTAAGAGAGATAATGATCAAAATATTCAATCGTTAGGACACTTTGTGGCTGATAAGCTGTCCTTTTTTTTCCTTCGAAGGAGTGGCGGATAAGCTGTCGTGATCATTACACATGGAATTTTATTGAAGTGATAACATTTGATGTTTATGTCGTACGTCGGCCCCTAGACAGTACGACTTCCAAATAAAGGCATCTACATAATTAAGAAAAAAATATATTACGTACACCCGGATATTCTCTGCTATAATTTTTCTTTCATGTAACAGCATTTGGCTTTATTAATGCCTCCTCAGTTTCAATTATTTTTCAAAATTTTTTTTTCTGAATAAAGCATTTTAGTCATCAATGGAATACTTTTTATAAACAAATTGTGACCTAGAATAAAGAATAATTGAGTGGTTATCATTTTTTTTGCCCCTCAACAACAAAATGAGACATTTTTTTGTTCGACAAAACCAAATTCACAAACAGTGATTAAGATGCTGCATAACCATTATCTACATCTTTCTTTATTTACTGTTCTTTCAGATTTAAGACAAAGTACTTAATTACCTCATCAAGTCCTTTATTACTTTGCTTTTTAGAAGGGAATTATATAGTTCAAGTCCTTTATTTCAGTGATGAAGATTTATTGCGTACTTCCGTCTACCAATTAATCCCTGATTTCCATAAAATAAAATCAATGCAATATTTGTAATCTATTGATTTCCCCTCTCCTAATTTTCCCAAATCTCTAATTACAACCTTTAATTCATAAACTTCAATGCAATGTTGGTATTACAAAGATAATCGACATTGCCACTGTAGAAATAAAGGAGCAGAGGACATAAGGAATAAATTAGCAAGCGGTAGTATATAAAGAACCAAATGAACCACCACTGCTATAATAAAGGACCAAAATGTTCATATTTCCATCAATTAAAATACATGAAAGAATCAAGCCGCCACACTTAAATAATGTCTCTTATTGTAAATCCAGTTTATAACTCATAAAAATCATCATTTTATCTCTTTACAATTTCAATTCTAGACTTTCAGTTTCTTTATATATATCAAGATGTTGACAATTTATGTAAAAGAAAATAGAAAGATTACAGGTACGGTGATTTGCAAAGTTACAGACTGCTACTAACCACATATTTTCTTAACCTATTACTAGTCTATGATCATCTTATCCCTAGCTTTTAAGCATTTTCACCCACAAAATTTTAAAATTTTAGACAAGTGTAGAAAATTTTAGACGCTTATGACTTTCAAAAGTTATACTGTGTGTGATGTTACTATAGTCCTCATGTGTTTGACAACACAATTCATCATTTAAATTTAATGTATTTAGATTTTAATATATTCAGATACATTTGATAACTAAAAATTGAACATCTGAATTAATTAAGTGCCATTAAATTTTTTAGGCAAAACTTGCTATAAAAAATAAGTGATAAACTTTTCATTTATCACCGAATGTGATATACACCCAAACGTATTTGATTTAATACTTAATAATTCAATAATTTAATGGATTCAGATTTCAGATTTCAGTTTTCAAACTTTAATTTTATCAAATGCACCCTAAATACAATGATATGAATGTGTGTGTAAATTTTCTTGTACCTGAATGGAAGAGGAAGGTTGGGAAGTAAATGAGGTTTTCTCAAGTGAGTTGGCAGAGCGACCATGAATAGCATGTCACCCCAGTTAAGTTTTTGTTCCTCCGATACAACAAAGGCCTGTCCATATCCTTCTACATCGCCCGGTTCCTGGGCAAATCTCTTCTTCTCTTCAATCGTCAAATTGAAAAACTTTTGCATCTCTAGTTTCAGTTTGTCCACTAATGAAGAGCTCACTCCATGATTAATCAGCTGGTGACAAATTGTACAGTCACTAATTATTTGGTGCTGACTATTATAACACTTCTCCATTTTAACAGCAGGCATGTATATCCATTTAAATTAGATGATTGTCCTTGTATAACAATTCAAAGAAGATCCCAGGAAAAGCAGGAAAGAAAAGGAGATCACTCCTATTACATTCTAGTCTTGCATTATGTACTACTACTAGAGAAAACCAAATGAGTTCATAAATTAGGGTAGGCATGCTTGCTTTTGACATAAAAATTCTGGATAATTACAAGAAAAGAAACATTTCAATATGAAAAAAAAAAAACTTGTGGCAAGATATATCATTTACCTACAGTCCTGAAAAGTCATAGTTATTAACATAATAAATATTTCAGAATTATTTTATTCCCTTGAAAGTAAGTTAAAGTTGTGGTAAAAACCAAATTGAAATGACTAGTAGATTTTGAGCAAATACTATAACAATCAGACTCCATTATTAGGTTAACAACAATACCTAATATATGCATATACAAATACGAAATGACAAACCTGGAAGAAGCCCCATTCTTTGCAGGCAAAATGCAACTTTTCAAGCTCAGGATTCACTGATTCATCAGAAAGCAGCCTTTGCATGTCAATTACTGGGATTTCCTCTGTGGAGACCCCATGAAGTTTGGTTGGATCAGGTCGTATGTATCGGGGTGGAACTGATGCAAATTTCTCCTTAGCCAACTCCTGAACATAGGGTACTTTTAGAGAGCTTCCAAAATTTATCATACCAGATTCCATGTTTGTGGTTTGTGTAAATCTATACCTATATATATATATATACACGTAGCTCCAAGTTGCAATTGATATCATCAATTCATGGAACGTCTCTGGAGTGATGTATTCCTTTATCAATTTGTATCAAAATTGGATTAGTCCATCTCCAAAAATTGATGACTTTATTAAAGTAGACAACATCAGCCTCAAGAGAGCACATCAGTGCCCAGCATGTCACAAAATATCAGTGTCAATTGCACTACAAAATGTAACCTAAAAGTCTTCACGGAACGTCTCTGGAGTGATGTATTCCTTTATCAATTTGTATCAAAATTGGATTAGTCCATGTCCAAAAATTGACGACTTACAAAATAGGGTCCACATACTTTGCTACGCAGATGAGGTTGCGATTGTTCATTATTAAAGTAGACAACCATCAGCCTAAAGAGAGCACATCAGTGAACAGCCTGTCACAAAATATCAGTGTCAATTGTACTACTAACACAAATATTTAACCATTAAGACATTGAAAATACAAATAATAATATCGTACCTAATAATACAGCAAGTTTTATCACTTATTAAAAATTGTGTCTCAAAATCAATCTCATCTAGCGAACGTTCGTACTAAAACTATTTAAACCATCAATTGCAATTACTCTATCAATAGTAGAGAATCTTCATCCAATTTGAGAATTTTCCCAAACTACATATATACAATTAATATGTCGTTTGGAATTTTGCACTGCAACTATAAATGGATTGGTTTTAGGATAGAATTTTCAATTTAACATTATTATCCATGGAGCTGTTTTGCTTCTTAAATGAATCGTATACATCAGAGGTGTTAGGTTCATGAGTAAAAAGATTACATCTCACATTGGCCCGAAAGATGAAGAACGAGTGGTTAATATGTAAGTAAGGACCCAAAACCTAATGACTTAAGCTTTTGAGTCAAAGTTGGGTTCCTAACTTCCATATTGAACTCTTTGGTGGGCTCTCTCGAGATATTTCCCTCTATCAAGAATTGGTTTCATACCAAAGCAATTGGCTATGAACTATTTTGAGCCATTGGTGGCAACTGGGGAATTGCAAATTGCATAGTTGCAGAAATATATGGATTTTTTTATTCAATTAAATATGATGACAGCAGGTTCAAGGGTAGATCCTTCCTACAAAAGCGTCTCTAAATATAGTGATTGTATATTGACATTTTGTTTTAGTTAGAAATACCATAGTATGAGCTGATCCTAGATGTGTCCTTTAACAAATATGTCCTAGCTTGTGAGACATGAATCAGACTACAAAATGCCAAAAACTTAATTTTCAAATAATTGCTGTAATATGAAAGAGTATTACTACAATTAAAAATCAAACAATATTAGAAAAGCTTCAAGTGAACACAAATACTAAAGCGTTATCAGAATTGAATCTCAAAGCCTGTATCATAATCACTTATCACTTACTCCAAGCATCGTCTTCTTCCACCTTACTTATCAACAAAAAAAAAAAAAAAAAAAAATCAGATAAGCTGAGTAAATTAATTTGAAAAAAAAATCCCTTCACAGGAGATAAAAGTAAGAATTCTTGTATCAAATGTTTTTCTAAAAAAAGAACTTTGCTGAATATTTAGTGCAATAATAGTGCGAGATTTAAGGATAACATTCCCTAGACCAATAAACAACAATTGAGGAAATTTGATGTCTCCATAATAAAAAAAAAAAAAAGAGTTCTGAGAACAAAATTTTCTTTTACTTTCCTGCAAACAATCCAATGAGGTTGCCCATGTTATCCCTTCTTTTTTTTTTTTTTTTAAGTTTTGCAGAACTTCTAAAGGTTTTGTAGTCTAGAAACATAATAGAGAATATAAAGAGATGGAATGATTCATGACTTCAAAGTAGAGGGGAAATTTTTTTTTTTTCAGAAATGTGCCAAATGGAGCTTTTACAGTCCCAAAAAAACACAGAATCGCTGAAGATGCACATATGGCAAAACTATAAGTAACATAGAACAAAAAATGGAGAAATGCCAACAAAAAATAATGAAATTATTGTTCTTAATATGTTTATGAAGCTTTACAATTGTAACATTAGAAGAATCCAATGTAGATAGCCAAAAGAAGAAAGAATACGTTAGATTTATTAGAAAACAGAGGAAAGTTGATCCAAAAGAAAAGGCCACATTTTTTGGATTATAGTAAATCTTGCACTTGCTTATACGATATGCGAGCGTATAATTGCTGAGCATATAAACCACAGAAAAAGAATTCTAAACATAGGATAAAAACTCAAGTCAATTTGTTTTCAAGTTTCATTTGCAGTTTGTCTTAAATGTGTTTGGATATGTTAATACTATCTTTGGACAATATTTGTACTAAGCAAATGCCATCATAGCTACTCATTTATGAGCTTTATTATCCTATTTTGGATGTAGAATTTTTTTATACTAATATAACTATGTTTTCAACCATGTTAATAATGTTTGTGCAAAGTGCTTAAATAATTAAGAGAACTGTTAGCACAACCCCTCCTTTATGTCTTATTATACTTCATGAAATGCAGAAAGGTTTATGCTTGATTTGACAAAGCTGTGTTTTGCAAATGTAGATAACTTAGCAAATACATATTTTAAGAGAGAGCGAGCTTTACAACAAAGGTTGAATAAGTTGAGATTTATAAGTCATTTTAAGCTTAACAACTTAACAATGATATTCATCACATATACAATTTTCCTAAATTTGACCCATTTTTGACATTTTCCAAAAACCTTATTTTCTTGCTAGTTGAATTTCTCTATACTTCATGTGTAATTCAATTAAAGATGCTATACAAATGAAAAAAAAAAACCAGTTTCACAAAAAACAGAACTCTGCAGATCGTAATGAGACCAAGAGTTATTTTGAATCCCTTAAAAAAGAAGTAATAAAGCAACAAATTGAGGATACCTTAATAAAATGTTGAAATTGAAAAGGCTTGAGATATCTAGATGCTCCGGCTGTCTTTATAACCTGAATACAGTATAGAAATTTAAGTATTGGAGTCAGCGAATCAGATATGTCAAGTAAACCACAGCAAAAAAAAAAAAGGGTATAGAATTATAATATCACAACACAAGAACTTCAGAAGAAGCATCCTTTAGCATACTAAGAATCAATAAAACTCTAATCTGTCTACAAAACCTCAAAATCCATCAAAATAGAAACCTAGACAAATGAATACATCGCAACAGTTGACATTTAACAATTGCAGAATGAATCAAAGAAAAAGAACCAGAGGGAATAGTTCATGGAACATCTCCTCTCTCTTTTGCTTTTGCTTTTGCTTTTTTTTTTTTTTTATTTGTAAATGTAAAACTTCTCAAGGGATATTCATAGTGGTGGTTGTTTATGGAGGGGTTTCAAATGGTGGACCGCTCCTTTCCAAAGGAAAAAGATAAATGGGAGGGAAAGGGAAAGAATTAGGGATAGATCATTAGAGTGGTGCAAGGATAAAAGCATATGGCATGTTGCACAAACACTTAAATGCCTAAAGATTAAACATTCGTCAAATGAAAAATTAGGCTGTCATCATCCCCAATACATTGTAATAATGTCTGTCTACCATTAGCACAAAATTTTCGTTTAATAGCATAGGCAAAAAAAGCAGGCAAACAATCAAGGCTTACGAAACCTTTTGTACAATGTACAACACATACATGCAGCCAACAATAAGTACTAATAAAAAACCTACGTAATCCACAGGAAAACACAAACCAACCATAAAGGATAGCCTCAGTCTTTCAAAAATAACATATCACAATCTCAGCGCAGAGAACACACCATCAATCCACACAATGTTTGTAAAAAACCCAAATAACCAAGGGCTATTGACAAAATTACCATTAAAACTGGGGTCATGATTTCATAATTGACTCGAGAACACAATATACAAACCTATAACGTTCACTGTATCTAAGGTCATGGAACATTTGCCTTGCACAACCTCCAAAAGCTCAGACTTTTCATCTAACCACCTAGGCCCATAAGACAGTCAATTTTTGGAAAACATGCGAAAAAAAAAGCCATCACAAGTAACTTATTCATTAAGAGTAGGTATGTCAGGAATAGAAGAGTTAGGGAAAATCAAAACATGAAAAACACAAAAAAGTAGATAATTAAACAGTGGAGACGGATCAAAAAAGGGTTACCTCAAAAATTGATCACTCTATATGAACCCTATGCAATCTTTCAACATTGAATAACCAGTTGGTCCTGAAAAGCAAAATCAAAGAGTAAGTTTAATGTAAAGGCAACTTAGTGGTACAAGAGAACCTAATTTCATAATATTTTTTCTAAAACATTCCATACATGGGAAAGATTAAAACAAATAAGCAAACATAGGCCACCTGGCACTAAATTAGAAAGCTATCTGCCAAAAGACGGCAAAGGCAAGAGCTTTAATGCAAGGCAATGTAAATGAAACACATGCAAATCATCCACCAAACTATTTAAACCTAAAATATGAACAATATGTTATAGAATCTATGACCTGAAAACATAGAAACCAAAAAAAAAAAATCAGGAGCAAGACCAATTACAGTAAAACTGATGCTGAAGTGGAAGAGAACTGCAGAGAAGACAACATACACGAAAACAGAGAAAAAGCACCACTATACCATAATCCTGAATAGGAAATCGATGGTCTGTCAAAACAAAGAATTTTGAAATTAAAGCCAAAACCAACAATTGAGAAAAACTTAAGAGGCTTATGCAAGTAAATCAATGGTCTGTCACTTCCCAGATCGAAATCTAGAAATGATTCAAAAAATTACTGCAAGGCAATAGAGCTTCCAACAGCTGCTTCAACGGCAACTGATTGTGCTCTTTGGACCACGAACTGGAATCTTGAACTTGAATCATATGCCATTCACCTATTTTTTTCCCCCAAAGATAGCTTTGAAAAATTAATTTGCAAATCTTGATGAATTCCTAAGATTATCAAAAAAAACAATTTGCGCATTTCAATAATAAGAAGCCTACAAGTGAAAAAAAATACTAAAGTCACAACCTATTACCCTCAATTAGAGGCGGTAAATCAACCCACTTAACTAGATTTACCCATACCCGCCCATGAATAGATGGGTATGAGTATCTTAAATTTTTGTATATGGGTATAAATGGGTTACCCAATAATACCCATTTAATAAATGGGTATTATTGGGTAACCCATCAAACCCAATTAACCCATTTAAAATTCTCTTCCCCCCAAGTCTCTTCTTTTTCCCTACCTTTTTTTTGTCAAGTTTTTCATTTTGTCATGATGTTAACATTACTATTATTATTATTATTTGTTGGTTTTATCTTATTATTTTATTTTTTCTTAGTTTGTTAATTTGCTCATTTTTTAGCATTACCAATTTATGATAAATTTTAGTCTATTTTCTTATCTTTATAAAATGAAATTTTAAATTTATATATGAAAAAAATATTAGGGGTTCAAAATTTTTGGATTAAGTTTTTATATTAATTTTTATAGTACTTAATTCAAATTTTTATATTCGTATTATTCAATTATTAAATAATAGGTAATTTTGTGATATAGAGTATAAATGAAAAAAATTGGTAATTAAGTTTATTGAACATTATAAGTAAATATTTAAAACTAATGATGGGTACAAAGAGTGGTATAAATTGATAACTTAGTTTACAAAAATGAATTTAAATAAGTTTGCAAAAAGTTAAAATAAATGAGTTATAAATGGGTAATTGGGTTACCCAATTCATTTTTTGACTTACCCATTTATACCCATCTAATTAAATGGGTATAAATGAGTTGACTCACTTATACCCATTACCCATTTTACCCAACCCAAACCCGCCCAAGTCACCAATTTTGACACCTCTACCCTCAATCTTAGTAAGCATGGAACTCCTAAATTGTTACATCCCTAAAAGATAATGAGCAAAAAAAAAATACAATTTATTGTCTCATGAAATTCAATCGAGTAAAATAATAAGAGTTCAAAGAGGAAATTTTATACAAATAATTATACAACGAAATTACTAATTTGTAAGGTGGTTTAAAAAATATAGGAAAAGAAAAAAAGGCTTACCTCTCTGTCGAGAACATAGATCTCATGAAACTTGTCATGCCTAGATGAAACCTGAAACGGGAGTAAACTATGATCGACATAGAAATACTAACGATAAAAAAGAAAACAAAAGACAATCATGTACAAAAAAATTTCCAAGATTGCACTTGAAGGGAACACATATCTAAATTTTCAATTGCACATCTAAAAATAAATCCAGAGAGCCAATATATACAGAAAGATATTTATTTTAAAAAAAAAGATGGCAAGGAAAGAATTCAAGGAAAAATTTAGGAACTGATTATCAAAGGGAAAAAACTTTGATGGTCGACAAATTCAACAACATAGATTGATACTTCTAGTGGGAAAAAGGGGAAAAAATATAGAGGTGAAAGCTAAGAAACAGAAAATCTAGCTCCAACCTTAAGGATCTTGAGGCCGGAGGAGACTCTTGATACTCTGATTTCTTCTGCACCACTGATGCTATGAATTATAATGGTCTCACACTTTCAAAGTGAAATCATAGCGTCGCACCCTCTCTCTTTAAAAAAAAAAAAAACATCTTTTCTGCTTGGACCACTGGCTTTCCGTTCTCCTGCTTTTGTTTGCCATTTTCTATATCGAGTTGGTTGGATGTATTATTATGATAAAGAAGATGAAAGGAACAATATAAGAGCCACAAACACGGCGAAAATGACAGGAAATAAAAAAATAAAAATATATATATAGAAGTAAGTCGAGAGAGAAAAAATGCAAGTCTAACCTTAGCCCTCTTGAGGCCAGAGGAGACCCGTAATACTGTAATTTCTTCTACACCGGGAAAAAATTTACATCACAAATATATACATATTATATGATAAAATTCGACTAGTAAACCCTCCAAAAAATCCAAAAGGCTAAAGAAGTCTTGATGATGAGAAAGAAAAATAGTCTTACAAGTAAAAAAATCCAGACCATTGTTGTTCTTCTTGTTGCTCTCGGTCAGAATAAAAAACAAAAACCAAAGGAAAAAAAAAAAGAGGAAGAAGATGAGAGAAATAAGGTGAAGAGTTAGACGAATCGACAATATGATGAAGAAAGGAGAGGAAAAATGGGCATTTCCGACTCCTCGGTCCCCACCCCATCAGGTAATCACGATAAGGTTTAGGAAAAGAACAATAAAAGGGCACAAGCATGGTCAAAATTACAAGAAAGCCCAACCAAACATTAATAAGCGGGCACACAAATCTCCAAATTTACGGGTAAAACCGGACCACCAAGGGCATTATAGAGAAAGAAAATGCAAAGTCAATATCAGAAAATTCTGGAGCCACAAATTTGGCCTTTATGCCACACTGGAAAGACCAAAATACCCCATAAAGTCATCAGAATTACCATCGAAACCGGCCCATGCTTGCACTGTAGCCAATGGTCGTTCCCCCTTTTATATGTTTTAGATTAGATTTAGATTAGATTAGATCAGATCAGATGTGTGTGTATGTCTGAATGCGCATGCGAGCAAGCATAAAAGGGTAAAATTCAATATTTTGCTCCAAAGTCCACACAAGACCAAATAATACATTTTCTTCTCACTAATTCAATTGGATCAATAACTATAGAAAACCTTTGATTGTTTTTAACGCCATGTAATCCCACAAATAGATGCCATCATGTGGATGCCAACACATGAAAAACTATGTTTTTAGACTTGAACTGAGTATCAACTCGATCGAATTCAGGAGTTAGGGGTTAATGGATTCGATCGGGGTTAAATCAGATAACGTCATAAATAAAATTATTTAAAAATTTAAATATTGTATGTAAAATACTTAAGCACATGTTAATATTAATAAATGTATATTCATATATATTTGATATTTCAAATATATTTAACAAGAAAATACAAAGAACTTAGAATGATCAAGTAGCAATTTATATTATTTAATGGACATTAACAAGTTTAGAATTAAAATTATGGACTTAATTGAAAAATAACACCAAACTTAGGACAATATTTATAAAGTATGAAATATTTGAGGTATATTAATAATTTTTAACAACTTAGGGGTCAAAACATAATACTGACAATGCTTTGACTTTTTCAAAAAAAAAAAACTTTGACACCAATAGATTCTTCCAGTTTTTTTGGTCTAACTCAGTCAAATCTGATTTTTGACCTAATTTGACTGAATTTCTATCTATTCGATTTTTTAGAATAACACATACTAGACACTTGGCCGATTTTCAGTTCGATTGATTGAACCAATAGATGCGGTCCAAGTTTAAAAACACAGATGAAAGACACACGAAAAGATAATGCTCTTAGAAGTGATACTTCTTATGTCTAGCTCATTTGGTCCATGGACTGGATGAGGTTGGACAAGTGTATTAGGAATATATCATAAAAGGGCTCTGTTGCATTTTGGGCTATATTAAACTAAAAGACATCTGGGGACAAGACGGCTATCATTGGGGTGGACGCAGAGGAACTAAAAGCTGGAATGCGTACCATCTCGCCAAAGAGGACACAAGGGGATGAGGGCATTACTGCTTTCAAGTCCACATAGATTGGATATTCAAGTTGAATGTCATTCCCTCAAAAGTAAAAAAGTTGAATGAATCATTGGACATCATTTTCGTGATTTTAATAATGGCTTAAGTCAAAAGACATGTAGTATGCTGACTTGGCAAGAGTTTTTTTTTTTAACCTCTTCTATTTTTTTTGTTTGCGAATGGAAACCCCGCTATCACAGATTATTGCATAGACCCTGCCACTTAGACAGACCTTGGGCAAGTACCCCTCCCAAGTGCAATGAAGGTGGCTAGGCTTGTCAACGGGTCAGGGTTCTGATCGAAACTGAAAATTCTGAACCCAACCCGTTTTTATGTAGTAAATTCAAACCCGACCCGTATACCCAACGGGTCTTGATCGTAGAGTTTTGGAATTGGGTTCGATGGGCTGTGGGTCAGATCTAGGTCTATTAGGAAAAAAAATCCAAATTTAAACATTTTAAAATTAAATCCAAAACCAATCATAATTCTATCTCCAAAATTAAACAAATCAAATTACAAAACTAAATCACAAATAACTCAATAGTCAATACAAAACTAACCACAAATCAATCTACAAAATCATTACTAAATTGTTAATTTGGTAAAAGAATATATTTAGAAATATTTGTATTTTATAATTATTAATATATTGTTTGGATCCAGGTTGGAATCCTATATTCCGTATCCAACCTATTTTTTGTTAGAGTAAACGGATCCGGGTATTGGACTTATTTCTCAACCCATATTCGGAAAAAATTATCGGGCCTGAGCCGAGTTCGGATCCAAACCTGACCCATTGACACCCCTAGAGGTGGCCAACCTAGGCCATTGGCCCCATTTAGATAAGTGGGGAAGACCTTTTTTTTTTTTATAATAGGGCACAAATAAGAAACAAAAGCAATTTTAACACATATAAAAGTATTTGGGAAGAGAAGGAGAATAAATATACAAACAAACATTTAACTATTTATTAACTCAAAACTCAATCATAGCAATATCAAATTGTAACTTTTCGCTTACGACAATTTACGAATTTAAACTATGAGACTTTCTCTCAAATTTACCCTCAAAACTCGACTCATTTTTTCAAGTAATAATCTACTACTCTAGTAGTATTTATGCATTGTTAAACTTATTAAACAAATACAAGTATAAAACCGAAACTTATGTGGAACTGATTTGAAATCTCCTAAACCAATGTGGGAACTAAACAAACAAGATACCGAAACAAGAAACTAGAAGAATTAAATAACTAAATACTAAGATAGTTGGGTTTAATATCCTTTATTGCCTTCCTTAAACCATGCTAGTTATTGTGCTCACCTTCAATGTCAATTTGAACTTGAATCTCTATGGAAAACTCAGTTGCAGTAGACACAACATTTAACTCCAACTTATGATTGATTTTTAGTTTCATCTTTACACATAACAATGGTCGAAACTTATACTTTTTGAACAATTTCTTATCTTGATCACTTATGTCAAAAAAGTTAAACATGTTCATCCAAACTCCATTCATTACTCCACATCGCCAATAAAATTTCCCAACACTAGAAAATCATAGTTGCCACCTCCAATGTTTTTAACATCACCATATTTTTCCTTTAATTTTTTCACACTAACAATCGCATCTTTCGCTTCAAAAAATCATCAACCACAATGAAATCAAAATCTCTCTTATCACAATCTTTAGTTACATTTTCCAAATCACCAACGACTTCACTTTCTTTCTCAACCACATGTGAAATTTCTTTTTCAGCCACAAATTTTTCATCTTCATGTGTACCCATAATTTCTGCAATTTCTTCTTTCTTTGACTCATAAAAAAAAAAATTTCTCCTACCTCATCACAAAATTCTTCTCCACCATGACCATAGAAATTCATCAAAATTTTCCAAACCTCCGTTGCTGTATTTACATCTATTAATTTTTTGGCTACATGCAATTGGACTTGGGTGTTGAGATATTGGAATGCCTTGCAATCTAACTATTTATTCTTCTCTAACTCTTAAACTGCTTGATAATTCGTAGGTTCTATAGGTTTCGTGAACCACTTTTAGACAAAATCCCAAATTCCAATAGCTTGAAATTTTTTTTCATCATCCAACTCCAAATCTCAAAATCTTTTTTACCATCAAAAATAAAAACATCACAACGTGATGAATAACATTGATCCATGCTTCAATTTCATGAACAAGCCCTAGAATCAAAGTCCAAACCTCTAATACTTTGTAGGAAAATAGCCCATAGGATAAATAATCAAAACAAATCACACAATCGAAGAAATAGCATAGCAGCGAAATATTTATAAACAAACAAACGGAATGGGCTCAAGAAAGAAATGAAGGAAACTAATTCCTAAACTAATATGAAAACTAAACAAACAAGACACCAAAACAAGAAATTAGAAGAATTAGGAAACTAAATACTAAGATAGCTTGGTTTAATTTCCTCCAGTTAGTGAAACTAGTTAGGAAAGGAGTTTGGTAGTCATTCCTTTCTTAGAGTCAATCTTTCCCCCTGCATCTCTTTCTTTTTCTCTCGTTCTAATCATTCCTCATTCTTGAACTAATTCTTTCCTTCTCTAGTTCATTTTTCTCCCAAATCAATACTTAATTTGGACTCCAATGTTTGAGTCCATGATAGTTGTTGGCATGAAGCGGTTGGCTCTGGCTGCTCGAATACCCCCTGATCATGGCTGAAACTACTTGTTTTAAGTCTTTGAAGGACCAGGTCAAGAAATAGAAGCAAGGTTGAACAAGGCTCTGGCTTCCATAGGAAATTTTTAGCAGCAGTTAGACTCCATGAATAATTTCCAGCAACATTTTCAAGATGAGTAGGAAAGTAATGGCAAGAAGATGGAGTCCATGATTCGTAATGTGCATAAGAAATTCAGCTCCTCTATGATGGTGATGTCTTGTAAAGACAATCAGAAAGTGATCTGCGAAGAAGAAAATTTTGGGATTCCATGTGAGGACTCATGTTTTATTCTTAAAATAATTATTTTTATAATTATTTACCCTAGTATTGGTTAATTATATTATCGTTACATGAATCGTTTTAATTTCGCTTTATCGCGCGCGAATC